CTGGATGATGGCCCAGGAGGGCTCTTCCAACTCTAGGATTCTAGGATTCTAGGATTCTAGGATTCTGTTCAGCAGTGGTGGAGGCTCCTTCTTTGGAAGCTTTTAAACAGAGGCTGGATGGCCATCTGTCAGGGGGGATTTGAATGCAATATTCCTGCTTCTTGGCAGAATGGGGTTGGACTGGATGATGGCCCAGGAGGTCTCTTCCAACTCTCAGATTCAATGATTCTAGGAAGGGCCAAGTTGGACCGTGCTGGACCTTGAATCTTGATGCAGAGAACCCCAAAGGCTCTGAAACAGAGGCTGGATGGCCATCTGTCAGGGGTGCTTTGAATGCAATTTTCCTGCTTCTTGGCAGAATGGGGATGAACTGGATGACCCACCATGTCTCTTCTAATTCTATGATGCTATGATTCTAGGAATCAAGATCCTGAAGAGGACGGGGCCCAGGACCAGCTCATGTGCCACTCATCAACCCCGTGGCCACGTCTTAAAACACATGAGGGTTTTCTGAGAGCCGCATTGCAACTGAATCAGAATTCGTTGGTGGTTGAAGATTTCCTCAGAACTGTCACACACAAACACACACGCAAATCGTGCTGTGGTCACAGTGCTGCGGCCACAAGCACGGTCCTGCCAGCACCCCTCCAACCACCTTGTGCAGAATGCCTAGCTCTAGCCCCAACCTGTCCGGCCATTGGCCCTCGGGGGCTCAACAGAAGGGACTGGTCAGCGAGCAAAAGAGCGAGCTGGCGGTCAGGTTGCCACACGGCCCCGGTTGCCTCAGCCCTTCCTGCTGAGCAATGCCTCCCTCCCTCCCTCGTTGGCAGCACCCGCATTGCTCCAGCATTTCCCAACCCTGTGCTCTTCCTCACGAGTCACACGCCAGAGGTGGAGAAACAACAACACCCAGGCCCATCCTGGTGGACTCTGCAACCCCTAAACAAAGGGGAGGAAGGGGAGGAGGGGGCAGGAAAGAAAGGGTCAAGGTCTATGGCAGGGGTCCACAAACTTTTCAAACAGGGGGCCAGTTCACTGTCCCTCAGACCATTGGAGGGCCGGACGATAGTATCATCAAATTCCTATGCACACTGCACATATCTTATTTTGCTACTGTTATGAATCGTCATGTAAATATCTGATTTGCAGGGTGTATTTCCATTGATACAAATTTAACAGAAAGCATAGCGATTAATCACAAAAGCAATACAGAATCAAAGAGTTGGAAGAGACCTCCTGGGCCATCCTCCAGTCCAACCCCATTCTGCCAAGAAGTAGGAATATTGCATTCAAATCACCCCTGACAGATGGCCATCCAGCCTCTGTTTAAAAGCTTCCCAAGAAGGAGCCTCCACCACACTCCGGGGCAGAGAGTTCCACTGCTGAACGTCTCTCACAGCCAGGAAGTTCTTCCTCATGTTCAGATGGAATCTCCTTGTAATTATACATTGTGAAATATTTATTTCTAATTAAAAACAAATGAAATTTTGATTTCAAGCATGTCATAGCATGGGTAACAGTCTTAATATAACAGTAGGGAACCCATCAATATGTTTACTGATCAGCCTACCAGCCGAACTCCCATCACCAGGCCCATAGCCAGGATTTTGATTTGGGGGGGTGGGGTTGGTGCTGAGTTTGATTCAAGGGGGGGGGCTGAGGATCTCCCCTAGCAAACCTTTTGTATCATTATCTGAATAGCCCCATGCACATGGGATATATTTAGCATGGTGATCAGATCATGATATGAATAAACATGTTTAAATAATGTACCAGTAAGGCCTTCTCGCGGACCACCATGAGAATTTGGGGGGGGGGGGTCTGAAGCCCCTCAAGCCCCCCCCCCTCCCCGGCTACATGCCTGCCCATCACGAACAGAAAATATTGGAGAGGTTTAGGAAAAATAGACCTTGGCATTTGGGTGTTGCTGGGATGAATAGTTCCTCTGCCAACCAAGAGCATTCTGAACTCCATCAATGAAATTGAACCAAACTTGGCATACAAAACTCCCATGACCACAGAACATACTGGAGAGGCTTGGGGAAAATACACCTTGGCATTTGGGAGTTACCCAGATGTATAGTTTACCTGAAATTGAAGATTATCCTGGAGTGGTCCGGGCCTGGATCCTTTGAAAAGGCTGGCAAGCAACGAAAGCTGCACTATGTGGCCTGGCCTTGCGCGAAGCCCCTTGCATGGCTTGTACCACCGGTTGGGACTGGCAAGTGGCAAAAGTGGCGAGGGGCTTCGCGCAGGGATAGGCCGTGTGGGGTAGCCTCCCTTGCCTGGCTCACGCTGTCCATTGGGCCCGACGGGTAGCGAGAGGAGCAGCACTGTGCAGCCTGTCCTTGCATGAAGCCTCTCGCCAGGCAGAGGCTTTGCACGAGGATAGGCTGCGCAGGGCAGCCTCCCTTGTCTGGCTCACACTGCCCATTGGGCCTGACGGGAAGTGAGAGGAGCAGCACCATGCAGCCTGTCCTCGTGTGAAGCCTCTCATCAGGCACGGAGCTCCATACAAGGATAGGCCACGCGGGGTAGCCTCCCTTGCCCAGCTCAAACTGCCCATCGGACCTGATGGATAGCATGGGCCAGGCAAGGGGAGCAGCACCGCGCAGCCTGTCCTTGCGCGAAGCCCCTCGCCAGGCACGGGGCTTCACGTGAGGATAGGCCGTGCGAGGTAGCCTCCCTTGCCTGGCTCATGCTATCCGTTGGGCCTGACAGATAGCGTGAACCAGGCAAGGGGAGCAGCACTGAGAGGGAGGCCTGAGAGGGCATTGAGGGGGAGGCCTCCTCCTCTGTGGGCTGGATAAGTGCCCTTGGTGGGCCGGAAGTGGCCCGCGGGCCGTAGTTTGAGGACCCCTCATCTATGGCATTGAATGTTTGCCATGTATGTGTACATTGTAATCCACCCTGCGGAGTGAGAAGGGTGGAGTATAAATACTGTAAATAAATAATAATAAATAAGTGTGAGCGTTGGGGAGGGGGGGGAGAGAAATGAAGCTGGCCCTGAGTGCCTGAGGGCACCAAGACCACCCTACCCACTAAAAGGGACAAGGTTGCTCCTGGTGCCTGTGTGCAGAGGAGAGGCTTCCAGGAGCCTTGCAAAGGGCAGAGGGGCCCAGAGATGGTGCAGATGTGTGTATGTGTGTGTGTATGAGAGAGAGAGAAAGAGACAGAACTGGGGCTGCCCCTGAGTGGCCAAGGGAACCAAGACCACCTACTGGAGGGGAACAAGATTGCTCCTGGTGCCTGTGTCCAGAGAAGATGCTTCTGGGAGAAGATGCAGGGGGGCCTAGAGATGATGCAGATGTGTGTATATATGTGTGTACGTGAGAGAGAGAGAGAGAGAGAGAGAGAGAGAGAGAGAGAGAGAGAACAGGGGCTGCCCGTGAATGTCCAAGGGCACCAAGACCACCCCACCCGCTGAAGTGGAACAAGGCTGCTCCTGGTGCCTGTGTCCAGAGGAGAGGCTTCCAGAGCCCTTTTCTGCCTTGGGGGCCTGTGTGGGGCCTGTGATGCCTTTGCACAGGACAATGTTGGGATCAGAACACACTCAGGCACCTGCTGTGCCCTTCTGTCAACTTGAGCGGGTTCTGTTCTTCCTGAAGCCTGAAAGACAGCCAATGGCAATGCTTGGCCCTGTGAGGAGGGTGACTAAGATGATCAAGGGTCTGGAGAACAAGCCCTATGAGGAGCGGCTTAAGGAGCTGGGCATGTTTAGCCTGAAGAAGAGAAGGCTGACAGGAGACATGATAGCCATGTATAAATATGTGAGGGACAATGTCTTAGGGAGGAGGGAGCAGGCTTCCTTTCTGCCGCCCTGGAGAGAGACTGGGATGGAATGGAGCAATGGCTTCAAACTACAAGAGAGGAGATTCCATCTGAACATGAGGAAGAACTTCCTGACTGTGAGAGCCGTTCAGCAGTGGAACTCTCTGCCCCGGAGTGTGGTGGAGGCTCCTTCTTGGGAAGCTTTTAAACGGAGGCTGGATGGCCATCTGTCAGGGGTGATTTGAATGCAGTATTCCTGCTTCTTGGCAGAATGGGGTTGGACTGGATGATGGCCCATGAGGTCTCTTCCAACTCTTTGATTCTATGATTCTATGAGGAGCGGCTTACAGAGCTGGGCATGTTTAGCCTGCAGAAGAGAAGACTGAGGGGAGACCTGATAGCCATGTATAAATATGTGAGGGGAAGTCATAGAGAGGAGGGAGCAGGCTTGTTTTCTGCTTCCTTGGAGACCAGGACACAATGGAGCCATGCCTTCAAACTACAAGAGAGGAGATTCCACCTGAACATGAGGAAGAACTTCCTGACTGTGAGAGCTGTTCAGCAGTGGAACTCTCTGCCCCGGAGTGTGGTGGAGGCTCCTTCTTTGGAGGCTTTGAAACAGAGACCGGGTGGACATCTGTTGGGTGTGCTTTGAATGGGATTGTCCTGCTTCTTGGCAGAATGGGGTTGGACTGGATGGCCCATGAAGTCTCTTCCAACTCCAGGATTCCATGATTCTATGATTGGGAAGGCTGCAAAGTAGGGACAGCTCTATAGCTTCTTTGCCTGGCTGCACCAAGGGCCATGGCTACTTTGTGCTGCTACCAAGGTGGAACTTGGAACCTTTGCAAGAGGGCCAATGGGACCCACTTGGCCCATGGGAGCCCTGAGCCGCAGAGGAGCCTGGCCTGCGGTGGCTCCTGGGCTGATGCCAGCCTGCCTTCCTGTCTGTTCCCGGGAAGTGACTCTGGCCTGCCCGACTTCCTCCTTGGCACCTCAGTCATCTCTCCATCTGCAGAAGGAGCCTCCCAGGGAGTGTTTCTGACCAGCCCAGGGCTCCAAGCCTCCTCCCTTTGGCTGAGGGCAGGGCCAGCCAGCTCAGGAGGGAAGGCAGGGCAAGGCACACCACCACCACCACCACCACCAGCAGCATCTTTGTCTCTGTGGGCCGGGCTTTGTGCAGAGAGTGGGAAGGAGGGGCCGGGCCCTCCGCCCCTTTGGGGCCCCATAAATGCGGCTCCTCGCTCCCCTGGGAGAAGCTTCGCCCATCGCAGCAGCAGGCTCGCTCTCTGCGGAGTTTGGGAGGACCTCGGGAGGAGCAGCATCATGACCGGTGAGTGCCCTGCCCACCTTTGGTTCACCTGTTTGGACAATTTACCTACTTTGGTGATGGTGATGCCTTTTGTGGCCAAAGCCCACCAAGAAGTAGAGTGCAACACCATGAAACAAAGTAAGGGAACAATTGAAAGTGCCCAAAAACAACACTAGGCGAACAGAGATGGTGGACATGAGGCAAAAACCAGGTGGGTCAAGCAAAAGCCAGGTGGGTCAAGCACCTCAAGCCAGGTGGGTCAAGCAAAAGCTAGGTGGATCAAGCACCCTAAGCCAGGTGGGTCAAGCTCCTCAAGTCAGGTGGGTCAAGCACCTCAAGCCAGGTGGGTCAAGCAAAAGCCAGGTGGGGTCAAGCTCCTCAAGCCAGGTGGGTCAAGCAAAAGCTAGGTGGATCAAGCACCCTAAGCCAGGTGGGTCAAGCTCTTCAAGTCAGGTAGGTCAATCACCTCAAACCAGGTGGGTCAAGCAAAAGCCAGGTGGGGTCAAGCTCCTCAAGCCAGGTGGGTCAAGCAAAAGCCAGGTGGGTCAAGCACCTCAACCAGGTGGGTCAAGCAAAAGCCAGGTGGGGTAAAGCTCCTCAAGCCAGGTGGGTCAAGCACCTCAAGCCAGGTGGGTCAAGCAAAAGACTGGTGGGTCAAGCACCTCAAGCCAGGTGGGTCAAGCAAAAGACGGGTGGGTCAAGCACTTCAAGCCAGGTGGGTCAAGCACCTCAAGTCAGGTGGGTCAAGCAAAAGACAGGTGGGTCAAGCTCCTCAAGCCAGGTGGGTCAAGCAAAAGCCAGGTGGGTCAAATTCCTGAAGTCACGTGGGTCAAGCACCTCAAGCCAGGTGGGTCAAGCAAAAGCCAGGTGGGCCAAGCACTTATTTCCTTACTCAGCAAAGAAACTCAAGGTGGCTGACAACAGAATATTTTAAAATAAGACTAATACATATAGAGATGTAAAAAATGTGCAGCAGCTAAAATACAATTAAAATATAATAAAATCCATTTAAAATTGCATTTAAATACTAGACAACCTGCAGAGCCTCCATTTCCAGAGGGAAATTTTCCACAAAGCAGGGTCTGTGGGTCAGTGAGAGGTGCCCCCTTGCCCAGCAATGCAATGGCCAGACTGGACATCATAGCACTTTCCTGGGCCAAGGAAGGACCGGCAAGTGGGCAAGGGTCCTAACGTTGCCGGACGGTGTCTTCCCGGCTTCATTTTCCCGCGTCCCATGCTTCCTGGCTGTCTTCAGGAGCTGACCTTTGTAGACACCTTTGCAATAGCCTTAAGGGCAAGATCCCGCATTGTGGAGGCCGGTCAGAGCCTCGCTTGCAAGAAGGCAGCTTCAAAGCCTTGGCGTCATTGTCCCCTGTGGCTGTGGGTGTCAGGCGAGTGGGTGGGAGATCCTCAGCAGGGTCCGGTGTCAGCGGAGGAGAGAGTGGCCACCAGACAGACTCCCACAAAGCAGGCCAGAAATGGGAGAGGTGGGGCTGGGGGGCCTCTCGGCCCAATGGATTTGGATGCTGCCCAACTTGCTGATTGGCTGGCCATGCAGCGTTGCCCTTCCTGACGCAGTGACCCCCACTACGCTCCCGGCCAAGACTAAGGAGACCAGTTCCAGCTCAGTGGGTCAGTGGCCCTTCTTGAAGAAGGGAGGTCCAGTTTGTGTGTGTGGGAGGGGGACTGGTGGGGCGGGGCGGGGCGGTGGCTCAGTTGTCATTATACAGGCTAGTTTGACAGCTCAGCAATGGGGGGAGTGGGGGCTGCCTTGGTTTCCAAATCCCTTAGCAGGGGCAAGGAACTACGGTGGCGCAATGGGTTAAACCCTTGTGCTGGCTGAACTGCTGACCTGAAGGTAGGCAATTCGAATCCACGAGAAGGAGTGAGCTCCCATCTGTCAGCTCCAGCTTCCCATGTGGGAAAATGGGAGAAGCCTCCCACAGGCGTCCCCCGGGCAACGTCCTTGCAGACGGCCAATTATCTCACACCAGAGGCGGAGACACAGTGATGCAATGGGTTAAACCTTTGTGCTGGCTAAACTGCTGACCTGAAGGTCGGCAGTTCGAATCCGCAAGAAGGGGTGAGCTCCCATCTGTCAGCCCCAGCTTCCCATGTGGGAAAACGAGAGAAGACTCCCACAGGCGTCCCCCGGGCAACGTCCTTGCAGACGGCCAGTTCTCTCACACCAGAGGTGATTTGCAGTTTCTCAAGGTCGGCAGTTCGAATCCACGAGAAGGGGTGAGCTCCCATCTGTCAGCTCCAGCTTCCCATGTGGGAAAATGAGAGAAGCCTCCCAACGATGTCCCCTGGGCAACGTCCTTGCAAACAGCCAATTCTCTCACACCAGAGGCGACTTGCAGTTTCTCAAGTCGTTTCAGAGACGATTTTTAAAAAGCAGGTGCAAAAGGCTTTCCCCTTCTTAGGGCTGGTTGGCTCCCTGGGCCATTCTCCACCTCCATACACACTTAGGGCCAAGCCCCCAGAGGAGGGGCCACAAGCAGGACCCAGGGACCCACAATCTGCAATGGGGAGGGGGAGAAGGGATGGGGGCAAAGGCACAAGGCAAGCAAGAGCAGCAGGTGGGAGGTAAAGCTAAAGGTTTTCCCCTGACATTAAAAGTCTATTTGTGTCCGACTCTGGTGCTCATCTCCATTTCTAAGCTGAAGAGCCGGCATTGTCCGTAGACACCTCCAAGGTCATGTGGCCAGCATGACTGCATGGAGCGGCGTTACCTTCCCGCAGGAGCAGTACCTATTGATCTACTCACATTTGCATGTAAGCTGGGGCTAACAACAGGAGCTCACCCCACCCCACCCCGGCTTCAAACCTACAATCTTTTGATCAGCAACTTCAGCAGTTCAGCGGTTTAACCTACTGCAACACTGTCCCTCCCCCCAAATGCAGACCCTTCTTTCTTCCCCTATCAGTTTTCCTCCTCTTTGTGGCCGTGGTGGGGGCTCCGTCCTTTCCTCCCTCCCTGCGTCCCTCCCTTCAGGGCTGCCTGCCCTTAGAGGAAGTGAGCCAGGAAGCCACAGAGTGCCACCACCAGCTTCCTTTTTTAGTGGCCACCTCTTTCCTCGAAATTCCCTAGAATGGCAGCAGTGTGTTTGTAGGGAGGGTGGAAGTCCACACTAGGGGACACTGCTGTCCACCTGCATTGGAGACCCCTTTGCCCTCCTTCGTGGAATGTGGGAAATGCTCAACTGAGGAGGAACCCCGAGGCAGAGCCCTCGGCAGAGAGGCCATCGCACCTAGAATCATAGAATCAAAGAGTTGGAAGAGACCTCATGGGCCATCCAGTCCAACCCCATTCTGCCAAGAAGCAGGAATATTGCATTCAAATCACCCCTGACAGATGGCCATCCAGCCTCTGTTTAAAAGCTTCCAAAGAAGGAGCCTCACCACACTCCGGGGCAGAGAGTTCCACTGCTGAACGGCTCTCACAGTCAGGAAGTTCTTCCTCGTGTTCAGATGGAATCTCCTCTCTTGTAGTTTGAAGCCATTGTTCCGCGTCCTAGTCTCCAAGGAAGCAGAAACCAAGCTTGCTCCCTCCTCCCTGTGGCTTCCTCTCACATATTTATACATGGCTATCATATCTCCTCTCAGCCTTCTCTTCTTCAGGCTAAACATGCCCAGCTCCTTAAGCCGCTCCTCATCGGGCTTGTTCTCCAGACCCTTGATCATTTTAGTCGCCCTCCTCTCTGTGGCTTCCTCTCACATATTTATACATGGCTTTCATATCTCCTCTCAGCCTTCTCTTCTTCAGGCTAAACATGCCCAGCTCCTTTAGCTGCTCCTCATAGGGCTTGTTCTCCAGACCCTTGATCTTCTTCCCCCTGTGGCTTCCTCTCACATATTTATACATGGCTATCATATCTCCTCTCAGCCTTCTCTTCTTCAGGCTAAACATGCCCAGCTCCTTAAGCCGCTCCTCATAGGGCTTGGTCTCCAGACCCTTGATCTGCTCCCTCCTCCCTGTGGCTTCCTCTCACATATTTATACATGGCTCTCATCATGTCTCCTCTCAGCCTTCTCTTCTTCAGGCTAAACATGCCCAGCTCCTTAAGCCGCTCCTCATAGGGCTTGTTCTCCAGACCCTTGATCATTTTAGTCGCCCTCCTCTGGACTCATTCCAGCTTCTCAATATCTCTCTTGAATTGTGGTGCCCAGAATTGGACACAATATTCCAGGTGTGGTCTAACCAAAGCGGAATAGAGCATGGGGAGCATGACTTCCCTAGATCTAGGCACTAGGCTCCTATTGACTCATAGAATCCTAGAATCCTAGAGTTGGAAGAGACCTCATGGGCCATCCAGTCCAACCCCCCTGCCAAGAAGCAGGAATATTGCATTCAAATCACCCCTGACAGATGGCCATCCAGCCTCTGTTTAAAAGCCTCCAAAGAAGGAGCCTCCACCACACTCTGGGGCAGAGAGTTCCACTGCTGAACGGCTCTCACAGTTAGCAAGTTCTTCCTAACGTTCAGATGGATTCTGCTTTTTTTTGCCACCACATCACATTGTTGGCATGGGGAATCCCTTGAGGCAGGAACAGCCCTTCTTCTCCACACCCTGTGAGTGTCCCAGTGGAGGAGGAAGAGGAAGAAGAAGCAGGACACTCCACACTCACTCACTCATTCACTCACTCCTCCAGGATTGCTTCCCAATCCTGGAAGCAGCCCTGAAGGGCATGAATCACCCATGGATCATGGGCTCCTCACATTCCATGCTGTTGATAAGGGCTGTTCAACGACAATCACGCCCTTGCCTGAGATTCTGGTGGAGTCTCCTTCTTTGAAGGTCTTCAAACAGAGGATGGATGGGTTGTTGTAGGTTTTTTCGGGCTATATGACCATGGTCTAGAGGCATTCTAGAGCTCTAGAGGATGGATGGCCATAGAATCCTAGAATCCTAGAGTTGGAAGAGACCTGGTGTGCCATCTAGTCCAACCCCATTCTATCAAGAAGCAGAATCCAAAGCACCCCTGACAGATGGCCATCCAGCCTCTGCTTCAAAGCCTCCAAAGAAGGAGCCTCCACCACACTCCAGGGCAGAGAGTTCCACTGCTGAACAGCTCTCACAGACATAGAATCATAGAATCCTAAATTTGGGAGAGACTTCATGGGCCATCATCCAGTCCAACCCCATTCTGCCCAGAACCAGGAAAATCACATTCAAAGCACCCCCGACAGATGGCCATCCAGCCTCTGCTTCAAAGCCTCCAAAGAAGGAGCTTCCACCACACTCCAGGGTAGAGAGTTCCACTGCTGAACAGCTCTCACAGACATAGAATCATAGAATCCTAAATTTGGGAGAGACTTCATGGGCCATCATCCAGTCCAACCCCATTCTGCCCAGAACCAGGAAAATCACATTCAAAGCACCCCCGACAGATGGCCATCCAGCCTCTGCTTCAAAGCCTCCAAAGAAGGAGCTTCCACCACACTCCAGGGTAGAGAGTTCCACTGCTGAACAGCTCTCACAGACATAGAATCATAGAATCCTAAATTTGGGAGAGACTTCATGGGCCATCATCCAGTCCAACCCCATTCTGCCCAGAACCAGGAAAATCACATTCAAAGCACCCCCGACAGATGGCCATCCAGCCTCTGCTTCAAAGCCTCCAAAGAAGGAGCTTCCACCACACTCCAGGGCAGAGAGTTCCACTGCTGAACGGCTCTCTCACACAGGTAGGAAGTTCTTCCTCAGGTTCAGGTGGAATCTCCTTCCTTTCTTGTAGTTTGAAGCCATTGCTCCATCGTGTCATTGTCTCTCTCCAGGGCAGAGAAAACAAACCTGCTCCCTCCTCCCTAGGACTTCCCCTCCTCTCTTGATCCATGGCCCTCATCATGTCTCCTCTCAGCCTTCTCTTCTTCAGGCTAAACCTTTATTTATTATTTATTTCAGATATTTATACTCCGCCCTTTTCAACCCTCACGGGCGGGATTCAGCCGGCAATGATTTGATTCCTCCACGTGTACATAATAAAATACATAATAAAACCAATAATTGTTGTTGTTCATTCGTTCAGTTGCTTCCGACTCTTCATGACCTCATGGACCAGCCCAGGACAGAGCTCCCTGTCAGCCGTCACCACTCCCAGCTCCTTCAAGGTCAAGCCAGTCCCTTCAAGGATGCCATCCATCCATCTTGCCCTTGGTTGGCCCCTCTTCCTTTTTCCTTCCATTTCCCCCAGCATCATTGTCTTCTCTAAGCTTTCCTGTCTTCTCATGATCTGGCGAAAGAACTTCATCTTGGCTTCTACTATCCTTCCCTCCAATGAGCAGTCGGGCTTTATTTCCTGAAGTATGGACTGGTTGGATCTTCTCGCAGTCCAAGGCACTCTCAGAACTTTCCTCTAGCACCACATGGCCATAGAATCCTAGAATCCTAGAGTTGGAACAGGTCTTGTGGGCCATCTAGTCCAACCCCATTCTGCCAAGAAGCAGAATCCAAAGCACCCCTGACAGATGGCCATCCAGCCTCTGCTTCAAAGCCTCCAAAGAAGGAGCTTCCACCACACTCCAGGGCAGAGAGTTCCACGCTGAACGGCTCTCTCACACAGATAGGAAGTTCTTCTTCATGTCCAGGTGGAATCTCCTTCCTTTCCTGTAGTTTGAAGCCATTGCTCCCTTGCGTCCTAGTCTCCAAGGCAGCAGAAATGAAGCCTGGTGCCTCCTCCCTAGGACTTCCCCTCCTCTCTTGATCCATGGTCCTCATCATGTCTCCTCTCAGCCTTCTCTTCTGCAGGCTAAACATTTATTTACTATTTATTTCAAATATTTATACCCTGCCCTTCTCAACCCGGGGGGGGGGGGGATTCATCCGGCAACGTTTCGATGCTTCCATGTGTACATAATAAAACCAAAAATTGCATACAGTTAAAAATATTAAATTAATTAATTAAAATATACTAAAGTATAACAGCCTTATGGCCTTATCTAGCTGAATTCTGTGGTCGGAGACACCACCAAGTTTGTCCATAGTCCATTACCATAGCAATTGCCATCATTGTCTTTATCCTTGTCAACATAATTACCCAAAGGCCTGGTCCCACATCCACATTTCTTTCTGAAGGGGAGGAGGGATCAAGATGACCTAATTTCCCCGGGGAGTGAATTCACAGGTGGGGGGCCACCACCGAGAAGGCCCTGTCCGTTGTCCCTGCCAAGCGTGTTTGTGACAGAGGCGGGGCCAAGAGCAGAAGATCATAGAATCAAAGAGTGGAAGAGACCTCATGGGCCATCCAGTCCAACCCCCTGCCAAGAAGCAGGAATATTGCATTCAAATCACCCCTGATAGATGGTCATCCAGCCTCTGTTTAAAAGCTTCCAAAGAAGGAGCCTCCACCACACTCCGGGGCAGAGAGTTCCACTGCTGAACGGCTCTCACAGATCTTCTAGGTGGAACATAGAAGGAGATACGTTCAGACAGGTACACAGGGCCAGAACCATGCCCAGCTCTGGAAGCATCTCCTCATAGGGCTTGTTCTCCAGACCCTTGATCCTTTGAGTTGCCCTCTTCCAGCTTAGAGTCAACCTCTCCCTTCAGTTGTGGTGCTGCTTTATATTGTCACGACTGCTTTGATTGTGTTTTTCCTGCTTGGCAGAATAAACGTTGGACTAAATGGCCCATGTGGTCCCTTCCAACTCTGAATCCCTCTTTCTCTCTTTCAGCCAAGATTGATTGGAAGCTGAAGGAGAATGGCATTGCCCACCGCACTGACCGGTACAGCGGGACCGAGCTGGCGGTGCGCCGGGGGCAACCCTTTGGCGTTTCCATGATCTTCGGGGGAACCCCCCCAGCAGCAAGTAGCCTGACCTTCACAGTGGAAACCGGTAAGCCTCCCCTCGCTCCCCAACATTGGGCCTCCTGGGCTTCCCTTCCATCCTTCCATCCTTCCCACCACGTCCTCCCTTTCTCCCCACCTGGGACCCTCTTCTCTGGTCTTCTCCTTCTCTGTAGAGCTTCCAGGGTGGAGATGGGTGACTGTCATGGTGTGGTAGGACCTCTTTGGGGCTCAGGGAAGGTATACGAGTCTACACTGCCATATAATCCAGTTCAAAGCAGATAATCTGGATATGGCAATGTAGAAGGGGTCTTGATGTCTGTTGTGATTTTGTTACTGGATACCAATAAGGTAGGCATGGGCCAACTTGGGTCCTCCCTCCAGGTGATTTGGACTTCAACTCCCACAATTCCTAACAGCCTACCGGCTGTTAGGAATTCTGGGAGTTGAAGTCCAAAACACCTGGAGGGAGGGCCCAAGTTGGCCCATGCCTGCAATAAAGGTTGTATGTGACGGGAGCTTCCTCCACTCCCTGTCCTCACGCGGCCTTCTCTGCCCTCCATCCCTCTCTCTGCCCACAGGATCGACGGCTGCTCTCCAGGCCAAGACACGGGTGTCCTTCGGTGTCACTGCGTCTCCACCCAAAAATTCCTGGGGTGCGGTCCAGGGCGCCCCGGCCCCCGGCACCTTGAGCTTCTCCATCTCCAGCCCAGCGAATGCAGGCATTGGGCGCTACCGACTCGGCTATCAGACCGGGAGCAGCTCCTCTTCCTCCTTCCTGGGCACCTTTGTGCTCCTCTTCAACCCCTGGCTCCAAGGTATGGACTCCAAGAACAGAGGCACACCTATCAGGAGGAGCTGGGAGATACAACACCTAGGAGCAGAAGTAGTGGCTAAATGTCACATTGCCAGGGCTCTGCCAATATTTAGGCAGAGATGAACCAAACTCCCAGTTTGTGTTAAGCAATTTAATTAAAACAGTACTTACTTTCTGGCTGTTTTAATACTCCAAAATATAAAACATAAAATAGCACTCAGCCACAGAACATAAAACAAACTGACAGCAAACACTGTTGCAGGTTCCAGAGAACACCATAGTCAAAAGGTCCAGTCCAGTAGTCATACTCCGAGAGTTCAATGAGCAAAGTCCAAAGATCAAAAGTCTATACTGTAGTCAGAAGCCAGTCCAGAGATTCATGAATCTAGAATCATAGAATCAAAGAGTTGGAAGAGACCTCCTGGGCCATCCAGTCCAACCCCATTCTGCCAAGAAGCAGGAATATTGCATTCAAATCACCCCTGACAGATGGCCATCCAGCCTCTGCTTAAAAGCTTCCAAAGAAGTAGCCTCCACCACACTCCGGGGCAGAGAGTTCCACTGCTGAACGGCTCTCACAGTCAGGAAGTTCTTCCTAATGTTCAGATGGAATCTCCTCTCTTGTAGTTTGAAGCCATTGTTCCGCGTCCTAGTCTCCAAGGAAGCAGAAAACAAGCTTGCTCCCTCCTCCCTGTGGATTCTGTCACATATTTATACATGGCTATCATATCTCCTCTCAGCCTTCTCTTCTTCAGGCTAAACATGCCCAGCTCCTTAAGCCTCCTCATAGGGCTTGTTCTCCAGACCCTTGATCATTTTAGTCACCCTCCTCTGGACACATTCCAGCTTGTCAATATCTCTCTTGAATTGTGGTGCCCAGAATTGGACACAATATTCCAGATGTGGTCTAACCAAAGCGGAATAGAGCATGGGGAGCATGACTTCCTTAGATCTAGACACTATGCTCCTATTGATGCAGGCCAAAATCCCATTGGCTTTTTTTGCCGCCACATCACATTGTTGGCTCATGTTTAACTTGTTATCCACGAGGACTCCAAGATCTTTTCACACGTACTGCTCTCGAGCCAGGCGTCCCCATTCTGTATCTTTGCATTTCATTTTTTCTGCCTAAGTGGAGTATCTTGCATTTGTCCCCGTTGAACTTCATTTTGTTAGTTTTGGCCCATCTCTCTAATCTGTCAAGATCGTTTTGAATCTGCTCCTGTCCTCTGGAGTATTGGCTATCCCTCCCAATTTGGTGTCGTCTGCAAACTTGATGATCCTGCCTTCTAGCCCTTCATCTAAGTCATTAATAAAGATGTTGAACAGGACCGGGCCCAGGACGGAACCCTGGGCACTCCACTTGTCACTTCTTTCCAGGATGAAGAGGAAGCATTGGTGAGCACCCTCTGGGTTCGTCCACTTAACCAATTCCAGATCCACCTCACCGTAGTTTTGCCTAGCCCACATTGGACTAGTTTCCTTGCCAGAAGGTCATGGGGGACCTTGTCGAAGGCCTTCCTGAAATCCAGACACGCTCCATCCACGGCATTCCCCGCATCTACCCAGCTTGTAGCTCTATCGAAGAAAGAGATCAGATTAGTCTGGCATGACTTGTTTTTGATAAATCCATGGTTCCGGGATTGCAAAGGTTCAGGAGACAGGTCAGGATCCCGAAAGTCCACAAACCTGGGGGAAATCCAGCAGCATCTACCACCAAGATAAGACAAATACTTTTCTCCCAAAGATCAGTCCCAAGGCTAGCTCCTTATATCCAGAAACACACAGCTGCAACCTATCTCTTGCATACCTCCACCCTTAATTGCTTTTTGAAGTATGGACTGGTTGGATCTTCTCGCTGTCCACGGCACTCTCAGAACTTACCCAATTAATTACCCAATTAATTAGTCCATTTCCACAGAAGAACAAGTATCCGCTTGTAAATTTCCAGTCGTTGACATCACTGGCCTAGTCAGCATCCTCATATCCCTTCAATGAAGAATTGCTCCTGGCTGGTATCCTAAGTTTCAGATGCTCGGTTCCTTTTCAATATCTCGTCACTCTCTTCACTACATTCCAATCTTATTTAGTTGGCAAGCTGGCTTGTTTACCCAAAATTTCAACAGCTGCCGAAAGGTCTGGTGTGGTCACTGCTAATGTGCAGAGGTTTCTAATGGCCTCTCGGTGCTGGTTATTATTTGGCAATGGCTCGCTCTCTACAGGGTGTTTCCAAAACTGGTCTCTACTGGAGTCCCAACTGGATGCGCTTCAGTCATAGAATCCTAGAATCATAGAGTTGGAAGAGACCTCCTGGGCCATCATCCAGTCCATCCCCATTCTGCCAAGAAGCAGGAACATCGCATTCAAATCACCCCCGACAGATGGCCATCCAGCCTCTGTTTCAAAGCTTCCAAAGAAGGAGCCTCTGCTGAACGGCTCCCACAGTCAGGAAGTTCTTCCTCATGTTCAGATGGAATCTCCTTTCTTGTAGTTTGAAGCCATTGTTCCCTTGCGTCCTAGTCTCCAGGGAAGCAGAAAACAAGTCCTCCCTGTGACTTTCTCTCACATATTTATACATGGCTATCATATCTCCTCTCAGCCTTCTCTTCTTCAGGCTAAACATGCCCAGCCCCTTAAACCGCTCCTCATAGGGCTTGTTCTCCAGACCCTTGATCATTTTAGTCGCCCTTTTTCTCTGGGCACATTCCGGCTTGCCAACATCTCCCTTCACTTGTGGTGCCCAGAATTGGACACAGTTTTCCAGGTAATGTGGTCTGGCCAAGGCAGAATGGAGCATGGAGAGCATGACTTCCCTGGATCTAGGCACTAGGCTCCCATTGATGCAGGCCAAAATCCCATTGGCTTTTTTTTTTTGAACAAATGATTTGTTCATCATTTATTCATTCTGCATGCATACATGACCATCTCTTCTCCCTTCTCCTGGAGAAGAGACCCAAACGTAGGCCTAATTGCGTTCCCTGCAAATCTGCCATTCTTCCAAATACACCAATTTTCTCCATCCATTGACACCTTTCCTGTCTGCCACACTTTTGGATAGTAAAAAAGGTGTCTTATATGGCACATTTCTTGCTGTTGTTTTTCCCAAATTGTTGTTGTCGTCATCATCATCTTTTTATTTCTTAACTGCCTCTCCTTATGGTATGATGTAAATGATTAGCTGAGAGGAGATATGATAGCCATGTATAAATATGTGAGAGGAAGCCACAGGGAGGAGGGAGAAAGCTTCCTTTCTGCTTCCCTGGAGACGAGGACGTGGAACAATGGCTTCAAACTACAAGAGAGGAGATTCCATCTGAACATAAGAAAGAACTTCCTGACTGTGAGAGCCGTTCAGCAGTGGAACTCTCTGCCCCGGAGTGTGGTGGAGGCTCCTTCTTAGGAGGTTTTTAAACAGAGGCTGGATGGCCATCTGTCAGGGGTGATTTGAATGCAATATGCCTGTTTCTTGGCAGAATGGAGTTGGACTGGATGGCCCAGGAGGTCTCTTCCAACTCTTTGATTCTATGATTCTATGATTTGTTTTTCCCAGCTAAAATTTACTGATTTCATTAGTTCCCGGACAGATGTTGGCTTTCCTTCCTTAACAGAGGCAGGTTTTCCTTCTTAATGTAAGGAACCATTGTGTTGACTGAAAGAGTCATTGCCTTTGACTGTGTAAACATGTTGTTTTCAACCCAAGAGTTAATCATTGTCTCTTGTCACCAATATCAGCAGTTCAACTGCTGTCGTAGTTTTCCCTTCATCAGCCTTTTGCTGTTTTCCAGGCCTCAATCTTAGAATGGTATCATCAGGCTATATAGACCCCAGTCATACACCTTCCATAAATTTTTGTTGAATCCAGACATCATATTTGTTTGTTTGTTTGTTTACAACATTTATATGCCACCCTTCTTACCCCGAAGGGGACTCAGAGTGGCTTACAAGTAAAAAGTAAATACAATATATTATATTATTATCATATCACTATAACAGCAGCAGCCTTTGCCTGACCTTTGCCCCTTCCCCCTTACAGCTGATGAGGTCTTCATGCCAAACAACGCAGAGCGTGAGGAGTACGTCCTTTCGGAGTCTGGGGTGGTCTTTGTGGGCAGCTCCTACAGCATCAGCCCACGTGGATGGGACTTTGGCCAGGTAGGTCTGGGAGGCCCCACCCTTGAGGATGTTTTCTCTATGATGTTACCTCCTGCTGACCTCCCTGACGCCTTCCTCCCCAACAGTTCCAACCAAATATTCTGGACATCTGCCTGTCCATCCTGGACCGGAGCTTAAACCATCGCAAAGACCCAGCCACTGACCTCCGCCGCCGCAATGACCCCAAATACGTTGGGCGTGTGCTCAGCGCCATGGTAAGGCTCACTCCCACCTCAGCTGCTCCTTTCCCCCTTCCCTTCTCGTAGCCCTATTCCTCCATCCATCCATCCATCCATCCATCCATCCATCCATCCATCCATCCATCGCTTGCTTGATTCCCAGGTCAACAGCAATGACGACAACGGCGTGGTGCTGGGCAACTGGAGTGGCAATTACTCCGGTGGGGAGAATCCTGGCAGCTGGTCAGGAAGTGTGAAGATCCTCCAACAATATAAGTCCTCTGGATTTCGACCGGTCCGCTATGGCCAGTGCTGGGTCTTTGCAGGAGTGCTGACCACAGGTATGGTTCCAAGGGGAGCTCATGGGGTTCAGTGTGGGTCAGTGTGGCAGGGGCCAGTGGTTCCTGTCCTCTCCATCCACTTTGGTCCCTTCTTTCCTTCCTTCCAGTCCTCCGGTGCCTCGGTTTCCCCGCCCGCATGATCTCCAACTTCAACTCAGCCCATGACACGGACCAGAGCTTGACTATAGACGTCTACTATGACCCGGCTGGGAACCCCCTCAACATAGACTCTGACAGCGTCTGGTAAATTGAAGAAGCTGCTCGTGTGTGCATCCCTCTTTTCCTTCTGTGGGTCTGTGTGGCCTCCCCACAACTCCTTCGCGCCCTCTCTTGTACCTTTCCAACCTCCACCACCTGCCCTTCTCTCCCCCGCAATGCTCTCAGTCCCACGCCTGCAATGGCTTCCTGTCCTTCCTTCTTCAGGGACCCCATTCAGAGACCCCACTTCTTGAGGGGATGGGGAAAGCTTCCTGGACTTCATGCCAGTCGCCTTTTCTATTGCCCTCAGGAACTTCCACGTGTGGAATGAGGCCTGGTTCACCCGCTCCGATTTGGGCTCCACGTACAACGGCTGGCAAATTTTGGATGCCACCCCGCAAGAACGAAGCTCTGGTATGAGAGCTCACACAATCAGGGGAGGGGGGAGGTGGTGGGTTTTATCTCCATCACAGAATGCTAGAGCTGGGCAAGGAGGGCCTTGGAGATCATCCAGTCGGGCCTGAACTCTAGGGCCAGCACCTTCTGGTTGGTACTGCACCCTTGACGGACATTGTTTGTGCCTCTGCAGCTGGGAAAACCCCCATCAGAAAGGAGAGCCAAGGGCCCTCAAGACATCTCTTCCACTGCCAGGCAGTTGCCCCACATAAAGAATACTTAGGGGTGGGCTACTCACACCTGCCAGATGTTGTTGGGCTCCAGCCCCAGTGAACAGGGATGCTGGAGTTCATAGAATCATAGAATTATAGAATCATAGAGTTGGAAGAGACCTCATGGGCCATCTAATCCAACCCCTTGCCAAGAAGCAGGACAATCATGTTCAAAGTGGTTGTAGCCCAACCTGCTTGGTCCTTCAACAAAGTCCCCCATTTCTGGGTCAAGTGAGAAGCAATGGACAGCAGGTGGCAGTGAGTCACCCTTAAAATGTGTTGTCAAAGGCTTTCATGGCTGGCATCACTGGGTTGCTGTGCATTTTTCATTTTGCATGGCCATGTTCCAGCAGCATTCTCTCCTGACGTTTCACCCACATCTAGGGCAGGCATCCTCAGAGGTTCCGTTGGAGGTGAGGCAAGTGGAGTGTCTGTCTATATCTATCTATCTATCTATCTATCTATCTATCTATCTATCTATCTATCTATCTATATATATCTGTGGGAGAAAGAAGCCTTGTCTTTAAAGCATGCGTAGATGTTGCAATTAGCAAGCTTGGGTAGCATTGAGTAGCCATGAAGCTGCAAAGTCAATCAGTGAGGGTATCTCCATAGAGGTGGCGTGGCCTGTGTTGCTTCGGGCATCTTCTGTTTGGGAGGTGTTAACCTCTCTGCAGATACCCTCACTGATTGACTTTGCAAACTTCATGGCTACTCAGTGCCATTCAAGCTTGCTAACTGCAACATTCACACTTGCTTTAAACCAGGAGTCCTCAAACAGTGGCCCTCCAGCTGTTTAGGCCTCCAACTCCCAGAATCCCTGGCCAGTGAACAAGCTGGCAAGGGCTTCTGGGAGTTGGAATCCAAAACAGCTGGAGGGCTGCAGTTTGGGGTTGCCTGCTTTAAACAGACATGAGTTTTTTCTCCTACCCTAGACATTCCACAAATACACACACACACACATATATATACACACACACACATGCGCGCACTCCACTTGCCTCACCTCCAACAGATCTCTGCAGATGTCAGCCACAGATACAGGTGAAATGTCAGGATAAAATGCTGCTAGAACATGGCCATCCAGCCCAAAACATAGCCACCCTTGAAATGTTGCTGGTTGGGGTTCCTCAAAGGTCTTTTTTGCATGTGCTACTGTAGTGTTTAATGTGCCCACAAATGCTCCCGTCTTGAGGATGGATAGCAAGGTAGAATATTTTGGAAGGCCGTGGATGAAGAGATTGCAAAGAGCTCTCTAGGCAGGGAAGAACACGGCAGACGTTGGTACCAGAGTAAGTGCATTCGGTTTGTTGGAGCACTGCTCATTCTGCTGTGTTTTATATGATGCAGAGAGGCTGGGGCTGGGCTGGCCAACCTTGTGGCCCTTCCTGGCTGCCGTTCTCTCTGTGGGGCCCGGAGTGGCTCCCAGAAGCCAAGCCAGAAGCAGAGTGTAAACAATGAGGATTGACAGCTGAGAAGATGAGATAAAGCCCCTGTGGTGTGGAGGAAGTGGACAGAGGCACCTTCCTCCTCTTCTCCTTGGCACTTGGGTCTGACCTTGTGGACCTCTTTGCCTCCCCCTCCCCTTCCCCAATTTTTGGGCCCCCTTCTCCTCGCAGGCATCTTCCAGTGCGGCCCGGCTTCCTTGGTGGCCATCAAGGAGGGAGACGTGGACCTGGACTACGACTGCCCCTTCGTCTATGCTGAGACCAACGCAGACCGCGTCACCTGGACCCTGGACACAGCCACCGGGACCAAGAAGAAGATCTACTCGGAGACCAAGTCTGTGGGCCAGTTCACCAGCACCAAGGCCGTGGGCAGCTTCGCCCGCAAAGATGTCACCAACGACTACAAGTACCCAGAAGGTGAGAGGAGCAGTGGACAGAGAGGTGTGTGGGAGAAGGAAGGGGGTTTATGGAGGGGAGAAGGAACCCGCTTTGGGCAGGTGGAAACATTGTGCTTGGACCACCCCAAGAAAGATCTCCTGGTTTTGGAGAATGAGGCACGCAGAGTGTGGGAGGCCATAGCCATGGGCAGAGACGTTTCTCTTCATGCATTGTGGGAGAAGGAAGGGCCGGGTTGTAGCAGAGCTGGTTAATCACCAGCCGCAATAAATCACTGCTGATTGGAAGGTGGCAAGTTCGAAGCCTGAGTTGGATTGAGCTCCCGACTGTTAAGCCTAGCTTACTGTCCACCTAAGCAGTTCGAAAACAGTTGAGCTGTGAGTAGAGAAATTAGGGACGGCTTAAAGTGGGGAGGTGTTTTTGTTGTTGTTCATTCGTTCAGTCATCTCCGACTCTTCGTGACCTCATGGACCAGCCCACGCCAGAGCTCCCTGTCAGCCGTCACCACCCCCATCTCCTTCAAGGTCAGTCCAGTCACTTCAAGGATGCCATCCATCCATCTTGCCCTTGGTCGGCCCCTCTTCCTTTTGCCTTCCACTTTCCCCAGCATCATTCCCTTCTCCAGGCTTTGCTGTCTCCTCATGATGTGGCCAAAGGACTTCCGCTTTCCCTCTCGTCTCCTTCCCTCCAATGAGCAGCCGGGCTTTCTTTCCTGGAGGATGGACTGGTTGGATCTTCTCGCAGTCCAAGGCACTCTCAGCACTTTCCTCCAACACCACAGCTCAAAAGCGCCTCTCTTCCTTCGCTCAGCCTCCCTAAGGTCCAGCTCTCACATCCGTAGGTTACTACAGGGAAGACCATGGCTTTGACTATGCAGCAACAAAGATCCGCATAGTCAAAGCCAATGCCGGTGATCAAAGAGCAAGGAGGAAGTATGATCAAAATGACTTGGCATCATAGTGGATGAAGTAACAGCGCGCCCCTGTGGCTGGAATCGAGCATAACCTCCAGGTGCCAAAGTTGGAAATTCCAAAATACCTCTGTCTGTCTGTCTGTTTGTCTGTCTGTCGTGTATGTGTGCCTTGTGATCCACCCTGAGTCAGTGGAGAAGGGCCTAATATAAATACTGTAAATCTATATATATAAAAATGTAATGTTCATTTGTGGGATTAACCGAACTCAAAAACCACTGGACGAATTGGCACCAAATTTGGACACGACACCTAACAACCCAATGTATGTCCTTCACAAAAAAACACTGAAAAACACAGCAGAAGGGACTTAAAAAGTCCCAAAACGCTAAATGAAAATTTAAATGACAATACAGAAAAAAGGGAAGAAAGAAGGAAGGAAGGGGAGGAAAAAAGAAAGAACGAAAAGAAAGAGGGAAAGAAAGAAGGAAAGAGAGAAGGAAGCATGGAAGCAAAGAGAGAAGAAAGGAAGGAAAGAGGGAGAGAAGGAAGAAAGGAGAGAAAGAGGGAGGGAAAGCAAAAAGGGGGAAGGAAGGAAAGCTAGAGAAGGAAAGAAAAAGGGAAAGAAGGAAGGAAAGAGGGAGCAAAGGAAGGGGGGAAGATGTAGAGAAAGAGGGAGGGAAGGAAAGAAGGAAAAAGAAGGGATGCTCCAGCTGGAGGCCCTGCGCTGAGTATAGTGGGGTAGTCCCATGTCCTCTGGGGACCCTTCCCAACTCTTCTAAGGCTCCCTGAAGTCTTGCCTTAGGCTGGGGGCATCACTTTGCCCACACTTTGGACCAGAAGGTTGGAAGAGAGTCCTGCCCTCCCTGGAAATTGGAGCCGAGAAAGGAGTGGGGCCTGGGAGGCATATCAGAGTCATTGACCAGTCTTTGTTTGATTGAGTTGTGCCTTTGACTGCTGGCCGTCTCCTTCCAGGTTCCACCAAGGAGCGGGAGGTCTTCAACAAGGCTCGGGGCAAGCTGAACCTGAACACGCTGGAAGCCACCGCTGCCCGAGTGCCGGACGCTCCCAAGCCAGACGTGACCGGGAAGTTCAAGGTGCAGAGCCCCCCTGAGGTCGGCCAGGACGTGCAGCTGGTCCTGCAGCTGACCAACCAGGCCTCTAAGGCCAGGACCCTGACGGCCAACATGACCGCCTGGAGCATCGTCTACACCGGGAAGGCCATCCACGAGGTCTGGAAGGACTCCCTCGCCCTGACGCTGGGCCCCAAAGAAGGTAACCCTCAGTTCGGGGAGGACCGATGGAGTCAGGTTGTGGGATGATGTGGTGGATCCCTGATGAGAAGCCTCAATGCAAGTGCAGGCATGCACCAATACACACCATGCGCCATGTACAGGAAGGGTCCACTTCTGCAGCAATGTGCATGGAATTATAGAATGTGTGGGGGTGGTTCCTGACCCCCAGTTCCCCCCTCCCCCAGCCAGACTGGATTTTGGCAGCACATGATGGGAGCAGTTGCCCATCATCTGCCAGCAGCAGGAGGCGCTTTGGTCACCTGGCATGATTGGGTCTGTCCTTGCAGAGAAAGCCTATCCCATCAAGATCTCATATGCGGAGTACCAGCAGCACCTGACAACGGACAACATGATCCGGGCAACGGCCGTGTGCCACATCAAGGACGGGAACGATGCTGTGATAGAGCGGGACATCTCCCTGGACAACCCCACCATCACCTTGAAGGCAAGCCATGGGGGGGGGGGGGATCCCTTGTAGACTTCACCATCCAGAAAGCAGTTCGCCAATCGCCCTCCTGCATTGGCATGCGGAGGGAGAGATGACCATTTGGCCAACACGGGGGTCTGTAAGGACCCTGGCCCCATTGTGCCTCTTTGGGGACCACAGTGTGGGGTGGGAGGGACAGCCAAAGGGTGGCCCTGCTTAACCTGAGGCTTTGTTGCTGTTGCGCAGGTGCCAGGCCAGGTGAAGGTGGGCCAAGTGGTGAAGGTGGAAGTGGTCTTCACCAACCCACTGGCAGAAGCAGTCTCCTCTTGCGTGCTCCTGGCTGAGGGCAGCGACCTGCTGGAGGGAGAGATCCGGAAGGAGTAAGTGGCCAAGAAGGGGAGGGGGCATTGCGTGGGCGGGGGCGCAACCCTCTTCATCCAGTGGGCAAGCTCTTCCTTCTGAAAGAGAGGTGGTCGAGCATAGAATTCTAGAATTCTAGAGTTGGAAGAGACCTCGTAGGCCATCATCCAGTCGAACCCCATTCTACCAAGAAGCAGGACAATCGTGTTCAAAGCACACCCAACAGATGGCCATCCAACCTCTGTTTAAAAGCATCCCAAGAAGAGGCCTCCACCACACTCCAAGGCAGAGAGTTCCACTGCTGAACAGCTCTCACAGTCAGGAAGTTCTTCTGCATGTTCAGATGGAATCTCCTTTCCTGTAGTTGAAGCCATGGCTCCGTTGTGTCCTAGTCTCCAGGGCAGCAGAAAGGAAGCCTGCACCTCCCTCCCTAGGACTTCCTCTCAAATATTTATACATGGCTATCATGCCTCCTCTTAGTTTTCTCCTCTGAAGGCTAAATATGCTCAGCTCTTTAAGCTGCTCCTCATAGGGCTTGTTCTCCAGAGCCTTGATCATTTTAGTTGGACACATTCCAGCATGTCAATATCTCTCTTCAATTGTGGTGCCCAGAATTGGGCACAGTATTCCAAGTGTGGTCTAACCAAAGCAGAATAGAGCATGGGGAGCATGACTTCCCTGGATCTCGGCACTAGGCTCCTATTGATGCAGGCCACAAAAGGTTTGCCACCGGTTTCAAGACCAAAGACTGTAGGGCTAAGATCATGTAGAGCTAAAAGCAAAATGAGAATATCAAAGCCTCATGGCTAAGGCAGAGCCAGGCTGAGACCGATAGTCCCATCTTGGGAGGCACACAAAGGGGCCACTGACCGCTGGGCCTGTTGCCCACACAAAGAGGACAGAGGGTGGCAAAACCCCTGCAGCTGGGCCCCATTTCCTATGGGACACCCTCTTTCAGCAGCCTCCACCCCTCAGAGAAGCATCTAGTCTGTTTCAGAGGAGAACCTGGAGACCGGGCCCTGCCTCACCCTAACAAAATGAAGTTCAACGGGGACAAATGCAAGATACTCCACTTAGGCAGAAAAAAGGAAATGAAAGAAGAGACAGAATGAGGGATGATGATGCCTGGCTCGAGAGCAGTACGTGTGAAAAAGATCTTGGAGTCCTCGTGGACAACAAGTTAAACATGAGCGGCAAAAAAGGCCAATGGGATTTTGGCCTGCATCAATAGGAGCCTAGTGTCTGGATCTAGGGAAGTCATGCTCCCCATGCTCTATTCCGCTTTGGTTAGACCACACCTGGAATATTGTGTCCAATTCTGGGCACCACAATTGAAGGGAGATGTCGACAAGCTGGAATGTGTCCAGAGGAGGGCGACTAAAATGATCAAGGAATGAACAAGCCCTATGAGGAGCGGCTTAAGGAGCTGGGCATGTTTAGCCTGAAGAAGAGAAGGCTGAGAGGAGACATGATAGCCATGGATAAATATGTGAGAGGAAGCCACAGGGAGGAGGGAGAAAGCTTGCTTTCTGCTTCCTTGCAGACTAGGATGCAATGGAACAATGGCTTCAAACTACAAGAAAGGAGATTCCACCTGAACATGAGGAAGAACTTCCTGACTGTGAGAGCCATTCAGCAGTGGAACTCTCTGCCCCGGAGTGTGGTGGAGGCTCCTTCTTTGGAAACTTTTAAACAGAGGCTGGATGGCCATCTGTCAGGGGTGATTTGAATGCAATATTCCTGCTTCTTGGCAGAAGGGGGTTGGACTGGATGATGGCCCAGGAGGTCTCTTTCAACTCTTTGATTCTAGGATTCTATGATTCTAAGTATCCCCCCAATGCACTGAATCTTTTGGAAGGGAGGGGCCTTCCTCTGCTAACTCCCCCCCCAAACCCGACTTTGCCTCCCCCTTCAGGGTGCCAACCGTGAAGGGCAAGGAGAGTGCCCGCATCACCTTCGAGGCCACCCCCAAGAAGAAGGGCACCAAGCAGCTGCTGGCCAACTTCTCCTGCGACAAATTCACGGACATCAAGGCCTTCCAGGTCATCAAGGTGGTTGACTGAGCTGGACCCTAAAGAGAGGCACCCCCACAAGAGATGGCGAGGCCGCACTACGAGGGAATGGGCAGCTTTGGGGGTGCAGAAGAGCCCTGTCATCTGCATGTTCTTCTTTCAATACAGCTTTTCTTTCTTACCGCCACTCTTTTCTTGCCTCTCTTGAGCTCCTTCACAAGATCCTTCCCCTCAGTTTTCTAGGGGTCGTCAAAAGCAGACTAATGAAAATGAAGCCGAACCCAGAACTCCTTGCCTTCAAGTTGATCTGACCCGCAGCAGGTAGTTCCTCAGTTCTCCATTGCCCCGATTGGGCCAACCGCATGAACAGCAGCAGCTGCAACTCAGAAGCCTTCTTATTTCTTTGCTTTTCCCCCTTCCCAACATTGTAACTAATCCCCCCAATAAAAAGTATCAATTAATTGTAACCTTTCCCTCTCCCTAGTGTTACTTTGTGTCCTTTACTGCCTCAAAACTTCTCTTTTAATAAACCTTTCTTCTCCTGGACTGCAGATGGCTCCCGCATCCCAGGGAGGCTGAAACTGCATTTCCTTAAACCGCGGATACGGAAACCCCCTTGGCCCCCCGTATCTGCGGGTCAACGGTTTCAAAAATGTTGTCAGTTTTCTCCTGGGAGAATTCTAAGACTAATGGCTATCTCAGTTTCGCTCCGCTATCCTTTCCGCCCCGGGAATAACCTTTTTTGCCCCCAAAACCATATCCTGGAGTCCAGCTATTTTTCTGAAGACGCTGCCTTGCTGCCTCCATTTTGTGGATGTCCAAGGAGCCTGGATCTCAGGGAACTATCGCGGTCAACCCATGGGTCCCCGAAGATGCCGGCGGGCCGCCATAGCCCTTGGCGTGCACGGATCTGTAGTTCTCTCCATGGATCTCGACCTTCAGCGTTGGTGGACGGCCAAAAGGACTCCGTGGACACTGGGGCACCTTCTCTCACTTGCCTATTCTGGATTTTACAACTTTAAACAACTTTCCCAAACTTTCAAGGACTTTTGAAAACTTTTTGGAACTTTTCCCCAAGCCCTATGGACTCCCTTCCCATGATTGAGGGATGTTATGATTTTGTGTTTATGAACTGATTCTTTTGGACTCTGGTGGGTGGGATAGGTATATGAAATTCCCTTATGCCTTATTATTCCTTATGTATCTCCCTAACCCCTGTGTGTACGTTTATATATTATTTTATATAGGGAAGCATGACTTCAGCCTTGGGAAGCCCATTTTCCAAGGCATTTCCCTATTGATTCAAGACTGATTGCATGATAATAACCTGGTCCCTTCAAGTCTTAGAGCAGGACCGCTTGGGGGGAGCTCCTTGGTAAACCGGTTGCCTTCCAACAAAGAGGCAGCCTGCTTTCAAAAGAAGCCAGGATGTCCCAGCTTTCTTCCATTTTGCCATTTCCCCATGGACTAAGGAAAACATAAGTCAACACAATGAACTCATATCTGTGACCAGGAAATACCAGGGCTGGGCGATCGTGCCAGCCATATATGCATATCTCGACCTTTCAAGAAACTTGACCAGCTTGAGGAATCTATTCATAGATTTATCGATGGCCATTTGGACACATTAAGTCACTTTAATTCACCTGGACATTTATTTCATTGTTCTTCCCAAGAACCGCCTCCTCCGCTCCCATTGGGTAAGAGCTCAAAGCGGCGCTGGCTTTCTGATTGACCGAGCCGCGCCTCCAGCTGATGACAACAGCCAATCAGAGAGACGCCGGCTGAGAGGCAGGGGGCGGGGGGCGGTAAATTTGAACTTTGATAGCTTTGTTTTTTATAAAAATGTACTAAAATGCATTGCATGTATGTCTCTCCTGACGAACTATCGCGGTTTGACATCCGTTCCAGCTGGACAAAATAAATACAACTTGGTGGCTTTTCTTCAACTTTGGCGAGATTTATTTGGGAAAATTCTTGGCTCTTTTCTCTTTGCTCGCCAGATCCTCCTTGGTGAATCTAAGGCAGTGTTTCTCAACCTGGGGGTCGGGACCCCTGAGGGGGTAATGAGGGGGTGTCAGAAGGGTCACCCAAGACCATCAGAAAACACAGTATTTTCTGTTGGTCATGGGGATTCTGTGTAGAAAGTTTGGCCCAGTTCTATTGCTGGTGGGGTTCAGAACACCTCTGATTGTAGGTGAACTATAAATCCCAGAAACTACACTTCTCCCAAATGTCAAGGTCTATTTCCCCCAAACTCCACCAGTGTTCACATTTGGACATGTTGAGTATTCGTGTCAAGTTTGGTCCAGATCCATCATTTTGAGTCCACAGTGCTCTCTTGATGTAGGTGAACTACAACTCCCAAACTCAAGGTCAATGGCCACCAAACCCTTCCAGTATTTTCTGTTGGCCGTGGGAGTTCTGTGTGCCAAGTTTGGTTCAATTCCATTGTCGGTGGAGTTCAGAATGCTCTTTGATTGTAGGTGAACTATAAATCCTAGAAGCTACAACTCCCACATTACAAAATCAATCTCCTCCCAAGCCCACCAATATTCAAATGTGGGCGTATTGGGAATTTGTGCCAAATTTGGTCCAGTGAATGAAAATACATCCTGCATTTCAGATATTTACATGACGTTTCACAACAGGAGCAAAATGACAGTTCTGAAGTCGCAATGAAAATAATTTTATGGTTGGGGGTCACCACAACCATAGGAACTGTGTTAAGGGGTCGCGGGATTCGAAAGGTTGAGAACCACTGATCTAAGGGTTCCTCTCTCCATGGGAGCCTCTAAATTCTAGCTCGAGATCAAAAATATCCCAGTGTTTGCAAAGCTCTTCCTCAGCTGGATGCTTGGATGCAGGGGCGGCTCATCCATTACGCGAAGTAAGTGGTCGCAGAACACTTTTTTTTGCCAGGGGCGCAAAGGCGCCTCTGTAAATGCCCCTCGACCGCCACTTGAGGAGCCCCCCTCAGCTCACAACAGCCCTAGCAGTCCGGGGGGAGCCTCGGCTTTCTTGCCTCGCTGCCGGGCGATCCTCTTCCCAAAGGGGCCGGGCCCTTGAGCCTCGCCTAGCCCCTCTCGTTCCTGCTCCACCCGGCCACCAGGTGCGCAAGCAGAGCCGGCGCTCAATCGTTCTCCACGTTCGATCCCTTCCCCATGACCGGCTCCCTTTCCTGATCCCCCGGCGCTCCACCCGCCTCCTCTCCTCTCCCCAATCCGGGTGGGCCAAGGGGCGGAGCCGCCACGCCTGGCCCGCTTTGGGTCCGGAGGCGTGTCTGAAGACCCCAGCGTGCGCACCAAAAGTCGCCTCTTCTCCTGACTTTCTCTTCAGCCATTGGGACCAAGAGAGAGAGAGAGAGAGAGAGAGAGAAAGAGCCCCTCTGGCTGGAGGTATCTCCCACCTCCGCTCCCTCCTTTGTTTTTGCACCTACCTTCAGGAAAGGTGGGCATCTCCACCTATGTCTCTCTCTCTTGGTCCCAATGGCTGAGGAGAAAGTCAGGAGAAAAGGTGACTTTTGGTGCACACGCCGGGTCTTCAGGCACGCCTCCGGACCCAAAGCGGGCCAGGCAAGGGAGCAAGTGCGGCAAGTGTAGTTACTGGGATGTATAGTTCACCTACAATCAAAGAGCATTCTGAACTCAACCAATGATGGAATTGAACCAAATATGGCACACAGAACTCCCACGATGAACAGAAAATATATATCAATGATTGGTTGGGGGGGGGGGGGCCAAAATACTGTTTGCTTACCATTGAAAATTACCTAGGGCCGCCTCTGCTTGGATGGGCAGAGTGGGTGGTATGGATGGTCTCAAGAGACCCAAGTGACCTTTTGGGCAGCACCAGGCCCTAGACTCAGTGCACTGGACAAAGGGCATTTGCCTTCAGCAACAGCCCCCTTCTGCAGCTACCCAGGGCCAGTGATAATGTGGGGCGGGCAAGTTGTGGGCCCCACACAAGCACAGCCGGAGGCTTGCCAAGACAGCCAGTCTGTGGGACATTTTGGTGATGCCCTGCAGAGGGCACCAGGAGAACATTTTGGGTGATCCTGAGAGCAGACAACATGGCCCAACCCTGCCTTAAGGAGAAAGGGAGGGATTCAGCTTCCTTTTGACCATTTTGGGAGCCCTTTCAGAGTTGCTTTTCTCAGGGGAGGGGAGGGCAGGGTGGGCAACCCTCACCCAAAGACCCCTGCTCTGAATGTGAGTGTCTTTCCCCTGCTTTTCTGGAGGAAGCCACCTTTCATACAATCCTAGAATCCTAGAGTTGGAAGAGACCCGGTGGGCCATCATCCAGTGCATCCCCATTCTGCCAAGAAGCAGGATAATTGAGTTCAAAGCACCCCCAAGAGATGGCCATTCAGCCTCTGCTTTAAAGCCTCTAAAGAAAGAGCCTCCGCCACACTCCAGGGCAGAGAGTTCCACTACTGAACAGCTCTCACAGTCAGGAAGTTATTCCTAACGTTCAGGTGGAATCTCCTTTCTTTCCTGCAGTTTTTAAAAAAATATTTTTATTGAGATATTATAAAAAGATTACAGCGAAAGAGGGTGAATATTTAGAAGAAGATAGAACAGTAGGAAACGTTAAGAGAGTAAAAAGAGAAAAAAATAGAAAAATAAAAACAAAAATTAAAAAAAGAGTTGACTTCCATCTCCTCATCAGGTGTTGTAACTCCGAAAATAAAAATGTTTCCGTTACTTCCACATAAAAAAGTTCCTCTTACTTACTTCTTTCTTTCTCGTAATCATCAAAGAGTGTCCAATCCGTCCTCTTTATCGGGTTCTCGGTATTTTTTTTCAAAAAAAAAAAGTTAATTCATCCATCTCTCTTATTTCTCTGATTTTCCCTAACCATTCTTCTATGGTAGGGATACTGTCCTGTTTCCAAAGTTTTGCCAAGGATATTCTCGCCGTCGTCGTAAGGTATATAAATAATCTGTCTTCATTTTCATCTAATTGTAAATCTAAATCTGCAAAACCTAATAGATAATATTCCGGTTTCTTCTTGAATACTCTCTTCAGGATTGTTTGTGTTTCTTCGTGTACCATTGACCAATATTTCACTATTTCTTTACATGTCCACCACATATGATAAAAGGTACCTTTCTGATGACAACCTTTCCAACATTTATCAGAAGAATGTTTATTTATAAGAGCCAATTTCTTAGGAGTGGTATACCATCTGTGGAACATTTTTATCCAATTTTCCTTTAAATCAGTCGCATGAACATATTTTAACTTTCTGTTCCACATCTGTTCCCATTCTCTAAATTGAATAGGTCTTATATTCTCTGCCCA